CTATGAAAATACGGACAGTCAAACAGAAAATAGAAAATAAAACATGAAAAAAATACTCTTGATGTTCTTATAAACCACCCTTGAAGGCTAAATTAGTACTCAGCTGTCTAAAAATGAATTTTATTACACAATAACTTTTATATTTGAAAAATCCACAAAGGCCAAAATGCGAAACCAAACTCCTAACTGTGTATTGCTACCTTATGTACATGTACGAGAAAACATTTTACGGACTCAACTGTGAACAAGACACTTTTTGTTGATACTATAAAAAATATATATGGCGTACATTTTTAAACTCACGAAGCAAATATAATGATAAGCGATTTTTACATAAGAGTTAGGGAAATTGTTTTATTTCACAAAATCCTCATGAACATTTATAAACAGTTGTTTGTCTGTAGTTTTGATTATTGAAAGAATTGAGATTTTTTCCCCTTATCTTTTACATTCCTTCGAGTTTGTTATATTTTACAACATGCATTTAATCGTATCTGTTTTTATTCTGCTATGGGAAACGTTTGGTTGTTAGGGAGGAATTACAATGCTGTCAAAAAAACGTAGTTAATTGTGTTACACTTAAACATCATATAAATGTATGCATAAATTTCCTGTTCACCCTATTGGATCTGAAATATATTAGATAGATTAAAGCTGTTTATTTTGTATATGTATTAATTTATCACTATCATTAATCATTAATACAAAAATAAGGAGATGTGTTATGATTTCCAATGAGACAACTATCCACCAAAGTTCAAATGAAGTGAGTGTATGCAATTATAGGCAACCGTTTGCAATTGCATCTTCGAATTTTTGCAGGTACGTTTTAAACTTTAAATGCCCGTTCTTTTGATTTGGATCTCTGCCACATGAAATTTGCGACTCGCTTAAAGTGCATATGACCTTTATCCTCGCGAAATTTTGCTAACGTTTTTCAAGATAATTTTGTGGTCAACTCAACTGTAACACTTTTGCTCATATAAGGACCAAGTTTGAAGATTTAATTCATCACAACGTTAAAACGCTGACATGCCAAAGTTGAACCCTGCTACTCGAAATATCGTCATCGGCCGTCACCAGACCGGAGTGTCCCAAAGTGAAGTAGCAAGAACTGAAAATATTAAACAGATCACAATTTCGCGACTTTGGAACATATACCTGTAGACTGACTGTACTAAGGACCACCCGAGGAGTGGACGACCTCGCCTAACGACTCCTGGACAAGATCACTACATCCGGGTATTTCATCTACGGAATCGAACCGTTGCGCAACAGCCACTGCAGTTGGGATACCAGGATTGAGAAGAATCAGCTCACAAACAGTCCGCAATCGACTGTGACAACATGGCATCAGACCCAGGATTCCGTTTTTTGGACCCATTTTGAGGCCGTTACACAGACGGAATAGAGTCCAATGGTGCAACAGATTGAGGGGCCGGACATTCCGCAACTGGCGCAGAATCTGCATGGTTCAGTGATGAGTCCCGTTTTATGCTTCAGAAACGTGATGTGAGAACTCGTGTCTACCGGTGCATGAATGAATAGTTTCCTTCCTCGTGTGTCCAAGAAGTGGAAAGCTTCGGTGGAGGAAGTGTCATGATATGGGCGGCTATCTCTCATGACCGTAAAATGGAATTGGTACATGTTATGTACCGGGCAAAATAACGGCTCAAAGGTACAGAGACGAAATTCTCCAACCTCACCTTATGCATGTTATTGACCGACAGAGGAAGTTTTGTCAGCAGGAAAATGCTAGGCCTCACACAGCGCATTAAACAATGGACTACCTTGAGCAGAATGACATCAATGTGCTACCTTGGCCTTCCAATTTACCGGACTTGTATACTATTGAGCATCTATGGGACCAACTGGATAAACGTCAACCCCCGCCACAGACCCTTGATCAGCTCCGACAAATGTTGCAACAGGAATGTCGGTCAATTCCACGCAACAGCATTAGAACATTGATAGAATCCATGCCGAGGAGATGCGTAGCAATCTTAGCAGCGAGAGGTGGACAAACACGGTACTAACTTTAATGGCAGCGGAAGTATCTCTTATTGTGATCAATTGACTTTTATTTATCAATCTCTAAGAAATTGACTATCCTCTTCTCAATCAAACACGTTTTGAGTATATATCTTTATTAGAAATTGTAAAATTTCCATTCAAAATACATGTATTAAAATTCATAAAAAAACCATTATGCGTTTCTTTTTTTGCAGAGTATATATGCGTATAAGTAAGATTTTTATCAAGATTTCACATTTCCCTGAATATGGAAATGTATTAGTGCGAGCGGGACATGGTCCTATATGCACATATTCTGACCTGTCTAGTAAAAAATATAGTTACGACGACCATTTTATCTTAGGGTAAAATTGTTGTAAATGCATAGTTGTAAACAAAAATGAAAAATTGTATGGCTTTTTAAAGAGCATCGAATGTAGTTTTAGGCTTTTATTCAGTAACAATTAAAAGCGGAATATCATTTGTTGTAGTAAGCCCCAAATGTTGAGTTGTTTTCGGAGAAGTAACAGCCGACCAATATACCACATACTATACGGAGTGTGATACAAAAAAGTTGATACGAAAATGTGTTAATTTAACTGGCTAATTCATTACCATGAAAAGATGTAGCGATATTTCCAATGGCTATTCGTTAGGTCATTGATGACATTCAAAGCCTAAACGATATACATTTCCTCCACAACAACGGCGATATGTGATATCTTCAATATTATACAAAACACTCACACTTTTCAACTGACAATCTTTTTTTTGTCAAATTTTATTACATTCTGACGCGTACACAAATTCTAACATGTCTAGATTAAAACTTACGTGTGGTGATCTCAGGTTATCCGAAAGGGTTAGCAGATCCTGCACCAATTGTGGCACCCTTCGTGTTGCTCATGTAAATACAAACTCGGTGATTAGTTTAATTCGGTAAATCACATTCGAAAAGAAGGACAGGATTATGGTTACGACGATTGGAACAAATCCGTCGTCAACTGTGTAACAGATATTCCATAACGGTCAACCAACTCGGGATGCGTCCGTAAAATGTGCGAAGGGATGATTTTAACTTCCCCACTTGAAACTCTTGGTTGTATAGCTTCCTTGTGAGCATTAACCCTCAAGGAAATCATGATAGGAAACGCAAGCCCTGGAATATCGTATCAACTGGGAGATATATACTCCATATGCAGGTACTGCTGGAATGTTGATACATAGAAATGTAAAGTTCACCATTAGGAAGCATACTGTAGGTTTCATTTTAGGTTTGATTGTAAAGTAACGCCTATATATTAAGCAAATATATATAATTCAAGAATGTGGTTGTGAAGGATATACTCGTGCATATATGGCTTCTTTTTATGAGAAATTGTAAGTTTGCTGCATCTGTGTCGATGGAAAGCCATAAGCCAATCTGCTTCCCACCTTGCTGCGTCGTTACGATCTTCTTATAATTTATTGCAATCTGCTTGAAAAAATTAAAACAACACGTTACAATTTTATGCGTCCGAAGTGCTTTTCTGGATTTGCCTTCATCAGGAACGCTCAAAGCCGAATATTTGAAAGCCAAGGATGTATAAGCACCTAATCAGTTGAAGAGCTATATAACCAAAAAGGACAAAAAAATTAGCCAAATCCATCTAAGGTCAACTTTGCCTGAGGGAGTTGAAACCTTAGTTTCTAACAATTTCGAATTTTATGAACGGACAATTTTAGAAAGGTTTGTAATAAATCATGTCAGTACTGAAGTACTGACTACTGAGCTGATGATACCCTCGGGGACTGATAGTCCACCAGCAGAGGTACCGACCCAGTGCTGTAAAAAATGAAAACAACACGTTATAATTGTATGCGTCCGAAGCGCATTTCTTTTATTTTCATCAGGAACGCTCAAAGCCGAATATTTGAAAGCCAAGGATGTATAAGAACTTAAACAGTTGAAGAGCTATATAACCAAAAAGGACAAAAAAATTAGCAAAATCCATCTAAGGTCAACTTTGCCTGAGGGAGTTGAAACCTTAGTTTCTAACAATTTCGAATTTTATTGACGGACAATTTTAATGCTATCATTAAATATTCGGAGAAATCATTGAATATATCCAGATGTTACTGGCTACGATATAGAGGAAATACCATTTACAACAACTATTTATGTTCTATTGGATAAGAAAGCTTGGATCTAGTTTAGTGTTGTTTTTTTTCTTATACCATAGTAATTTAGTTTGTGATTAGATTAATCGATGATGATGAACTTTATCAAAAGATTTAGCTAAATCCGTGATGATTAGGTCAGTTTGTATGTGACTATTATTGCTAGATGCTAGTTCTTGGATGAAGTCAATTAATTGTGATTCGCAAGATCGTTTTATTCCTAAAGATGTCATTGTTTTTTAAATGTTACTTGTAATGAATATTTTCCATGATCTTACAGCATATACATGTAAACGATATGGGTCTATAATAAAGAGATTTATATGTTTCCCTTTTTTCAATAAAGCAGCAATGTTTGCGTTTTTTCGATCTTGCGGTGTTTCACCTGACACTTTTCGAAAATATGACTGTCGTTTCAGTCTTGCATGGGAGAATTGAGCGCACAAAAACATGTTAAGCCCCGCCACAATCTTTATTCGCCTTTCCCAAACCAGGGTCGAGTAATAGTTGTTGTTAGTTGCTGTCTGCCATAATTGCTTTACATTTATTGTTGTAGTTCAAATCAGGCTGTTGGGTTTTCTTTTAATTGTTTACCTTTAACGATAATGCTCTCTTAATAAGTTACCATTTTGTTTATAACATTGAAGAAACCAATAATCTTGTAGACAAAAATTGGAATAACTCTTAAATCACGAATGAACATTGTCATGGTAATGCCTGATGCATTTACTGTAGAGTAAAGAATGACACATGACCATGTTAAAACCATTGAAACATCTGATTATTAGTTATAATCATCATAAGAAAACAATCAAGGCAGAAATATGTATAAACATTTATTATACAGCACAAGGATGGAGCTTTTTTGACAAATACTGCTTATATAACGTGGTTCAATAATCGTATGAATAAGAATCTGAAAGAAAAGAAAACGTCAACATAAGTAAACGTCAACATAAGTAAACGTCAAATAGAAATATTAACATAAATTTTTACAATAACTATTTCAGTGTGTTCCTTTAGTATGTATCTTTGTTTGCTAATTGGTAGAAAATAAAAGTTAACATTGACTTAATTTTGTTTCCTTATTGAGATGCTTAAAATATATTTAACGGGCTGTAGTTGTGATACAACCTTTTGTTAAACTTTCATCAATCAATCAATCGTGAGATGCAAGGTATTCTTGTAGCACTGATTGTTACTCGATAATGCATGTTGTACTTTGATTTGCAATTTGAGACAAAATAGTAGTCTTTTTTTTAAATAAATATAAATAAACTCATCATAGATATCAGGCTTAAAATTTTGTAAGCCAGACTCTCGTTTTGTCTTCAAAAGACTCATCAGTAACGTTCGAATAAAAAAGGTTGAAAAGTTTAAATAAATAAAGTACGAAGTTGAAAAGCTTTGAGGACTAGAAATTCTGAAAGGTTTTGCCAAATAGAGATGATAACTATTTTAAATGTTTGTTCTACATACCAGTGGCTCTTCTATATCCTGCAATATAATATATATAAATATATTTATGAATATATACGTATGTGTATGTTTCTATATGAGGTTTAGTGATTTGTTCTATTGTTATACCACAGCTCGATTAGAAAAGTATTCAAAAAAATCATAAAATATTATTTTTTAAATTATTTTTCACAAAAACAAAAGTAAGTGTAATCTAGTCTAAATAGCAATTTTCTCTTAAATTGTTCATATAGTTATAGAATATAAAAAAAAACGTAAAGTACATTATAACAAAGTAAATAATCAGTCAACTATGACTTACTTTTGCCACCTCCCATTCCTCCACCCATTCCTCTCATTCCACCGCCCATTCCTCCTCCCATGCCTATATGAAAAAAAAACATATATTAAAATCATACACTTTACATTATCATAAGAACATAAATTATTTATACAATATACATATTATACGATTATGATATGTTTGGACTATCTTTATTTTTAACATGAAACTAATTACATCATGTACATGTATTTGATAACTTTCGATATTTGCATTTTACTTTGAATAATATTTTGAATATACACATGTATTTTTGTTCTCAAAATATGCATTATGAAATGTACATCTGACTTTCACAAACATATTTAACCCAACCACATTCGGTATGTGCTTTTCCTATGTCAGGTGGCTGTTATTCAATGGTTGTCGTTGGTTACTGTCTGTCATGTATATTTTTTTTTCTTAATTGTTTTGTCATAAATCAAGCCTTTGGTTTTCTATTTTTTGAAAACTTTCATAAGATTTCTTTGGCTTTTGACATTGTTAAATTATAAGTAATAAAGTAATCAATATGGAATTCTTAACAGAAAGTTGAAAGATACCAATATAAACTGAGAATTTTATGACAACAAAAGAAAACGACAAACAACAATACATCAAACTAAAAAGTATTTACGACATATGAAACATATCCATTATCATCTGTGAAATGGATATTCCATAACGGTCAACCAACTCTTGATGGCGTCCGTTACGATTACGACGAGATGATTTCAACGTCACAACTTGGAATACTTGGTTTAATACCTTCCTTGTCAGCAGCAACCCTTTCTATGAAGGAATGCATGATTGAAAATACAAGTCCTCGAATATTGTATGAACTGGGGAATAAATATATACTCATTATGCAGGTGCTGTTGGAATGTTTGAATGTTTCTACATAAGAATGGAAAGTTCACAATTGGAAAGCATACTGTAAGTTTCATATAAGTTTTTATTGCATAGTAACGCCTTGATATTTAGCAGATATAATAAATTCAAGAATGTGGTTGTGAATGATATTTTCGTGCATAGACTTTGGAGATATATACTCCGTATGTAGGCGCTTGAATGTTGCTACATATGAATTGGACACCTTACAACTGGGAAGCTGAAATCATCACTTTTGCCGTAAATTTTTGTTTTAAACCGACCCTCAATGTTGTTTTCTAAATGTCAGTCGAGATATGAGGCATACTTAACTATGTCTGTTTTATACTTTATCTTAAGTTTGATGATATAAATGCGTTCAACATATTCACCAAATTTAAATTATTTAGCGAGTGAACACCAAATATATAGCGGAATATGATGTCAAAGCTTGAGATGTTGCATACTTTGTAAATATTGTTTCCTACAGATCTAGAGGAGAAAGTAAAAATAATTAAGCTTATATAAATAAAAATGTAGAATCAAGAACGTCATTGACGCATTTGTAATTATCGATAATTATTTATTCACTTATTTTCAATTTTATTTGTGTTAGATGTAATATACTCTCAGACAGTATTGTAAAAGGGTTGCTGTTGTGTTTGTCTCTAGTACTATATTTGAAATATTGAATAGAAAAAAAAGTAGGATTAAAAGTAAGACAAAAAAATAATTTTGATTACCTCCCATCATAGCAGCCATCATTGCACCTCCCATCTTTTGCGTTGGCATTGGCATCGGCATTTCCATTGGCATTGGCATTTTCATTGGCATTTGCATAGGCATTTGCATTGGCATCGGCATCGGCATTGGCATTGGCATAGGCATCATCATCTTACCCATACCACCGCCCATTCCATCGCCCATCATACCACCGCCCATCATCTTACCCATACCGCCGCCCATCATACCGCCTCCCATTCCACCACCCATCATACCGCCCATACCGCCTCCCATTCCGCCGCCCATGCCGCCTCCCATTCCGCCAACCTTTCCATAACCAGCACCATTGACTGTGACGAAGACAGCAATGAATGTGACAACCGTCTGAATGGGATTCATAATGGAAGACTGAAATACAATGTAAAATTTATATCAATTAAAATAGAAACATTATTTTCAATTCAATTGTATTTTGTTTATTGGTTGCTGATATTGACAATAATTTTATGAAAAACCATTGTATTTTATAAGTTTGTTTTTTATGTCATTCAGCAAGTCTTTTAATTTTTCGAGTGAGACAAAACGATGTAAAATGATCGACGCCAGTCGTGCGAATCTGTAGAATCAATTAGTATTTTGTGTAATATTAACACTGTTTAACATTTGCCAAAACTTATATAGAAATAATTCTTTACCACAATATGATATGAACTTTAATAACCTATAATCCACACAAAAGGCTACACATGCCACGTATATATTTTTTTATTTATTTGTGCAAAATTGTGCAGATATTCTATTTAACAGAAAATCTTAAAACGTGTACTGTAGCGTTGTAATAAAGGATGTTTGCTCCGCTTGTTTTTGAATTTTTGACAGACATTCGGAATCCCCTGGTTTTATCCATGTTGTGCCATTAAAAACATTTCCCCGCTAACCCCTACCTTTTTCATAATTTTTGTATTCATAGTTTAAAAAGTCATATTCGGAAATACTATAAAATCCTTTTTATTTTTTGATAATTATTTAATTAAAAGTGGTGCTAATGTTAAATGTATAAAAAGTCTAGAGAAAATAATTTTACGCCAACTTTTCAATCGTTCATATCTCGATAACAAGCACTCGGACCCTTCATTTTGCCTGTTTTTTTTTTTTTTTAGTTCCTTTATTTATAAACTAACCATTTATAACAGTCTTTTAAAAAACTTGTTATTTTAAAACAGAGTAGCGGACATCCTTAAGGCAACATTTATACGAAAATAGGAAGTCGGTTTACTTTATCTGTTTTTGTACATTATATAGTATCACTGTAAATCTGTTAGCATTAAGGGAAAAGTAACGATTATCATTTCAGATTAGTTTTTTAATTACCTGTGAAAACTTTGCATCTTCTGAAGATTTCACAGATAAAATATTAAAACTTCTAATATGTTTTGATAAAAATGAATATCTTCTATACCAATATCTATCAGGCAAGTTAATTCTACTTCGATGGCATTTTTCTTCTCCTTTATTGCTGTGATGTGACATTTTTTTACAATATCTTAACAGTTCAACTTTCACTGTATAAGGTGCATATCTTAAAAATTATATGTCTTAAGTAAGTCTCGAGGCCAAAATCTTTCAAAATCCAAAATCTATTACAACCATTAAAGACCAATATCTATCAGGCAAGTTAATTCTACTTCGATGGCATTTTTCTTCTCCTTTATTGCTGTGATGTGACATTTTTTTACAATATCTTAACAGTTCAACTTTCACTGCATAAGGTGCATATCTTAAAAATTATATGTTTTAAGTTAGTCTCGAGGCCAAAATCTTTCAAAATCCAAAATCTATTACAACCATTATAGAGCTGATAAAACCTAATATAACCAAAAATAAAGCACAATCAAATGTATGATAAAAGATGAATAATTTTATGTAATTAGTTTTAAGACTGTCAAGCAAGTACAGTTGTAGGTCCTTTTTAGTAATATAACTTTTACATATTCCATCGGTTGCATCATATTTATACAGTGTCCATGTCATTTTAATTTTAACTATTTATGAGTGTCATGCATCAGCTTCTATAAAGAAATGTTCAATATACACGATACCTTTAATCTTAATGTAAATTTTCTTTTTGTTTTTAATGAAATTAAAGTAGACGTTTTTCAAACCTACAGGAGAAAACTTTAAGAATAGATTGCATCAATTACGATGCAATGCTTATTGTTAATATATTTGGTTCACGAAATGAATTTAATCAGTTAATCATTTACATTTACATTTTGATTTTATATCGTTCCACAATTTATTTATTCACTTAAGGTATGTACCGAATTAATTTAAGGACACAAAATATATGGTACGATAACTTTCACTTTTATCACTTTTAACTTTTAATGAATGCACTTTTTTGTTTATTTTCATCATGAACGTTAAAAGACAAATAATTATTAGCCAAGTTTGTATAAAAATACAAATCCCGTGAACAGCCAGCCATATGACCAAAATGACAAAAAAATAATAGCCAAACAATAAGGACATTGTCGCCTAACGGAGGCTAAACCGTAGTTTACTGTTGAAATCCATATCTTAAATTCAAGTACAAACAACATACCTTTAGCTGTAGGGAGGACAAGACAAGTTGTGACCAGAATCAGAAACTTAACATCTTTTATAAGGATTTAACACAGGAAATAGTGAATTCAACTTTAACAACTTGTAAAATATAAACATGCTAAAACATAAGTTATATCTTTTTTGTATTCATGTTTAACTTGTACCTGTTGAGTTAATTGTATGTTTTTAACATGTCAAACTAGCTCTTGTTACACTGTATGATTGATGTACTGTTGATCTTCGATTGTAATAGACGTGTTCCGAAATGATGCACACTCGACGCTGAGGTTGACAAATTTGACTTTTACTGATAGTGTCGTATCAAAACACAAAAGTGATTTGAAGATTTAAATTAATATGTATCAATTAAATTTTGTGTTTAAACTGGATGTACTGGTGTCAATATATATTTGTTCATATAACGTTCGTTGGAACATTATTATAGACATCATATTCATGATAGAATTCGAATAATTCATTACATATATTTCGCTAGGAATTAACAACATAAACGTAGGGAATTGCAAAATGAAAATGAATATTGAAAAAGGAAAGTAGGGAAGCCGATAGAAATGATTTATTGGTTAGAAAAACAAATAACCTGTCAACTCTAATATAAAAAAGTTATATATCATTGGTATTTTTAAGTTTTGAAATTTCAATATCATAAGAAGCGTAACAAAGATTAGATCCTTTGAACTCCTTGCACACAATGCATACTCGTGCACAACCTAATATAGATTCATTTAGGATATATTTCGTGAAATACACATATATACTTGAATATAAAATAAGAAAACACTTCGTGATTTTCAAAAGCTCTTGTAGGGTTGTGGGCCCAAAGATACCATCAGATACGAATATCAGTTCATATGTTCTTTATTTTCTTTAATACACATGAAAGGATTGACTGAAAATACAAAAATTAACAGAAAATAAACACTTTACCATAACAAAATACACACATTTTCAGCAAATATATATGAACATAAATAATCTCTAACCTTTCTTAAAATAATACTTTCTCATAGTTTCTGAGTAATTACTTATCAATTATTTAACGCAGACAACCACATAATTGTCTTATACCAGGTCTATATGTATCCATATTAAACATTTTTATATTTTCTCTTTTCACATTTTACGGTATCTCAAATGACATAAATAAATGGTCAAAAATACTCTTTCTCATAGTTTACGCAGAAACTTCTATTAAATATACATATTCTTTGACTCATATATAATAAACATACCGTATTGGTTGACCATGGTATTTTAATATAGCTTTAAAAATGTATGACTTCAAAATTAGCTTCAACCACATGCGATGAAAACAAAATAAGGGCTCTTTCCTAGTGGGAATAGTAATATCTCAAAAAAATGCTAACTTACATGAAAGTGTTCATTTCAAATAAAATAAGATAACCAACTTTGGTCCTAACATACCGGCCCCTTAATTGTGGTCATGCAAGTACACAATTATCTTATAAAATAACCACAAAAGACCTAAGTGGTTTCCAAAATTTCCAAAATTTCAAAAATATTTCAGACATAAAGACATATATCAAAGTCTATTTGTTACTCAAATGTCAAAAATATATATCTACACAATTTAAAGTCTCTCTCATCAATGTTATGAATCAATTAATAGTCATTGTCCATATCAGCTTCCAAAATTAGACACAGAAAAAAAATAGTATATGTAAATTTGATCTATCCTAGCATCCATTTTGTTTTTCATCCAACTGGAACTGTTAAACAGGACATACTATACATATGGCGTTATCCAGTCAAGTTGCATTGTAGGTAAATGTATGACTTCGAATGTCTGTTCCAGTTTGTGCGTTTAATCGAGAGTAGTACACCGTGTTCAATAGTCAGACCCCTGGAACGAAACACCACTACCTGAATATGTGGCCTGGGAGGCTCCGTTCCGACAACCGAAGTCCCCGGCAGTAAACGTTACCCTGTCATTTTCACTTTCTGTTTATCTATGACTACAAGATAGTGTATTTTATAAAAGTAAAATAAAATACCTAACTCATAGGCAAATTAAAAAAAAAGACGTCCGTATAATTTGACAATTTACACACTATCAATCAACGAAACAAATGGAAAACAACTGTCATATGTATAACTTGATACAGTCACTTCGTTGACAGCTGTTTACAGTTCCATTATGTTGACACCATTGGGAAATCATCCAAAACACACACAACAAATAATAAAATTGAGAATGGAAAAAAACAATTTGTCAAAGAGACTACCTTCTGACCAAAGGACAGATAACATCCGAAGGTCACCAATCATGGATCCTCAACACAGCGAAAAACCCCGCACCCAAAGGCGGGCTTCAGCTGCTCCTAAACAAAAGTGTGTACTTATTCAGTTAAAATTTACGTTATACGAAACTCCAAAACTTATGATTATTTGGATATAAGCTGTATAACTTACAACTAAACTGACTAAAATATATAAACAGACATTACAAATTAATCTAACAAAGACGCCATGCAACAATAAAGGTGTAGTAAATAGTAATTACCAATCATAATTGTCTAGACCAAAACTTTGTATGCTAGACGAGCGTTTCGTAAACATAAAACTCATCATTGACGTTGACATATTAA